TTATATAAAAAAAAAAAAAAAAGACGGAACGCAGCTTTATACCAAAAAACAAAAACAGAACGTTGTTCTTTTACGCAACAATCGCAAGGCACGTTGGAACGAAAAGAAAATTCTAGGGTTCTATACAAATCACTAATTCTTGAACTCAGGTATATAAAATTCGCTATTGTCAATTACTCTATAATAGTAATAGGTAAGAATAGAATAGTTAATTCTCTTCTTTCTCTATATCAATAGTAAAGTCCCGTGTTTAGGTGCGAAACTTTAAAATTAATTAAAATGCATTGGTTGTTGTAGAATCGATTGTTTGACTGGTGTCAATTGAACAAGGGCCTACGTATTGGTTCGAGAAGTTTTGAGGTTAGTTGATATAACTCTTTACCAAAGTGGTTTAACTCACAAAAATATGCATACAAGGTGTTTGATGAATTGGCTAAAAGAGTGAATATATACTTAATTGAAGTGAGTGAGTTCCTATTAGCTTAGAATTATTTTAGTTAAAGTTAGATGATTTATTTTGATATATGTGCATAAATTTTCAGATTTTTATATTATTCTTATATGCCATTTTCATGTTGAAAATTCATGAAAAAGCAAGAATATTTAGAAATAATTTTGAATGTTTTATTTCATTCTTATGTCATACCTTACATTTAAGAATTCTAGAATAAGTATGTTTGAAAGATTTAGACTTGAAAAGTCACAAGAAAAAGTTTTAGAAAGAAAAGATTTTTGGGAGTATCCCTTATTCTGAGAAGGGGTTATCGTCCAGGACGAGGGTCCTGACTAAGACGTTGACTTACTGAAACTATTTGTGCCAAAGTAGGGAGCACACGAGCCTAGGGTCTCGTTGCTGAGAATTTACTTATCCATGCTAAGGTATGATACATGAGCGCTGAGAACCATGAAGCGAGTGACACCTCGTGGATTGGGCCTATTCGATCAGGTTGGGATCGAACCCGTGCCGATCACACGGTGACTAAGACGGAATTAAGTCAGGATAGTTGGAACTCCCAAAGTATAAAGAAAAGTATTTTTTTGAAAAAAAAAGAATTTCTTTTAGAATATTCATAAACTGCTAGTATGCAATTATTTTAGAATTATTCTTATAAGCTTTTTGTTTTACATGCATTTAGAACCTTTGTTCGTAATGTATATGTTAGTAAAGTTTCTCCCCCTGTTGTTGAGACTCACTGAGTACAATGGATGGTACTGATGTTCTCTTTTGGGAACTTACGTTGGTCTACGATACAACGTAGGAACCTATTTTGCAGGCGAGCAGGCTACGGGTTAGGACTTCCTTCTCTTCTAGTGCTATTGGTGAGCTCCGCTTTTGTTCGTGGAGTATTCCTTTGAGTCATCTTTATTTAGTTATTTCTTTGTTTACTTAGAGAACTGGCCAGGCCTCATGTCCTGAGCAGTGCATCAGTTTATCAGTAGAGGCTTCATAAACATAGTCATTGAGTTAAGATTCATATGTTTTTTATAATAACTTAGCAGTAATTCAGTAGTTACTATGAATAAAGTTTTGGAGTTGATTTATTTAAATATTTAAATTAATCAAAAGTATTTGGTTAGAGTATTGCCTTGATGCATGTAAACTTTAGAGTTATAATAGATTTGATAAGCAGAGATGGTTCGCTCGGTCATGTTTAGTGATCGAGTGTCAGTCCCCGCTTGTTCAAAAAAATGGGTCGTGACAGAAATAAACTCACCAAGAAGTCAAGAGGTGCCAATACATAGTATATATACATATTTTTAAAAAATTATCGAGCTACATAGTATAATTTTCCGACAAAGGGGTGTCGATTGACACCTCTTTAGTGCATGTGGCTCCGCCACTGGATCTTACAAATAAAACTCCTAAAAGAAGAGGCATGCATGCTAACATAGTTGAAGTACTTATTCATCATATACCGAGAGTTAAACATAACCTAGAAAATAATCATCATGATTAGAAAGCTAAAAATTCAAGCATAAATAAATATAAAAAGATTTTCTAAAGAAAGAAAAACCGGAAATTCGCAAAGCTTGAGATCCAATAACGAAACATAACCTTCGATGATGAAGACCGAGGAATACTAACTTTTTATAGAAGTATTTACCTATGTAATTAATAAAGGAAAGGATCTTTGTTCGGTAAAATTATGCATAGTTCCAATAGACAAAGAAAAGGAGTTTTAAAAAGGGAAAATTTTATACAAGAACAACTGAGCTCCTTACTTTTTAATTTTATAGCCCATATTTTAATTTACAATCAACTAGCCCAAAAATAATAGGCTAAGTTTTAACATCCAACTCCAATAGGTTCTAGAAATTACTATTTAATTTTAAAAAAAATTGCTCAAGCTTTTAAGTTAATTTTCGAATCAGTAACTATGACTCAAATATTAGTTCAACAAACCAAATCCATTTGGATGGTGAAAATTAAATTTTTAACAAGCTTAAACATGTGAGTTTAAATTTCGAATTTGATTTTGTGAGAAATTTGGAGTGGGTGTTATTTAGACTTGTTAGAAATAGTATAAGGAGGTTGTATATAAAATTTGAAGTCATTTAATGGAGATTTGGATTGGTTTTGAACAAGAATTGCAACTGAAAATCGTGGAAGAAGTTCGTCTACAGACGCTTGTATAAAGGTGTATAAAAGTGTACAATAGTGTATAAGATGTATTTATACACTCATATACATTATTATACAAGATTATACATAATTATACAAAAAACTGACTTCATCTTCTTCCTTGCGTCTTTTCTCAAATCTACTCCAAATCACTTCAAATTTAAATTCTGAACTCCTTTTGATATTTTCAATCAATTGGAACAATGCCCAATCCAAACAACTAACAAACTCAAAAAATCCTATTTTCGAAAGCAAAGCTTTGAATGGCCTTCATTGGTGGACTTCTACTCTTCAATTTTCTTTCATTGCAACCAGGTGACACAGGGTAAGAAGCAACAATGGCGGACGACCCTTTGAAGCATATGTAGAAGATGTGAGAAAAAGAGAGAGTGAAATCAATGGATGTGAGAACACATATTTAACTCCATAGCTTTTAGAAGCAATGGTTGTGAGAACACAAATTTTGAAGTTGCTAGTGCTTTCAAAATATGTACAATATGGACTAGGTTAGGTAAAACTTAAAAACATGGGTCATTTTTGTTATGATGTGAAATCATGTATATTTTCTTGTAATTCTTTCTTTTAAAAAAGAAAAAAAGCGTAAAAGTTTTTAACCAAAAAAGTACCTGTAACCTAGAAAAGGAACTAAAACTGAAGAAGAAAAGAAACATAGGAACTCCTAACAAAAAAATTTATAACAAAATAATATTCGTGGTCTTAAAAATATGTACTCCTATAAATGGAGTTGAGAGTGAAGTACCCTTGAAAAGGAATTGAATGAAATAATATGATTTTTCAAATCAAAGTCATGAATATTAGATAAATAATTAAATGACTATTATGATTTTTCAAATTAAAGTCCTAGGCAAATAATTGAAATAGTTATTTCTAATATTAGAAAAATAATTAATGATTATTCCTACATATTGGGAAAATAAATTAAATTACTATTTTATCCAATATAAAATATATTTTAAAGGGGTATAAAATGCGAAAGACATTTCGCTAAAGGCCTTCGTGCTTTTAATATAATACTAGTCTTAGGGTACGCACTTTGCGTGTGTATTCATTTTAATGAGCACGTAACTTTACAGAATAGATAAATATTATCAATTTGTTTCAATTTATATTGCGTAGTTTGACTGGATATGGTATTTATTTAAAAAAGTAGGAAATGAAGACTTTTGAAGCTTATGATATTTGAGAGGCTATAAAAGTTTATCATTAAATATGAAATAAAATGCTCATGATGAATTTTTTCTAAATTTTAAAAAGCATTATTAGTTTTTTAAACGTAGACAAAATAGCGTTATCATTTTTGGAACCAATGAAATATTAAATATTGTATTTAAGCTCAATAATCAAAGAAATTATGCACCACAAAAGTTCTCAGATGCCTAGTTGTGATTACTGAGAACTTTTGTGGGAACAACCAGGCAAAATTGTTGCTATTTTTGTAATTTAATACAAAATAAATAAGTAACACTAAAATATTTTTATCACGGCTCTTCAAAAAGTTGTTAAATAACACAAATTGAGAAATTAATACTTTAGACCTTTAGAAATCTGGGAATGAAGATATTGCCCTTGGCTAATAAAAAATTGATATGTGATAATGTAAAATGACCAAAATTGAGTTACTAATATTTTGCAACAAATAACTTAATATGTAAAAAATTATAGAGATTTTTCATTTGTTGAAAAAATTTAAAAGTAAAAAGATAAATAAAAATTAATAGCAACCCATTTGTAATATACGTTGTCTTCTTCTATTTCATCCTTATTTATTCAAGTTTGCATTTTACCAATTTATTTTTTTATACTATACTATAATCGAATTCGATATCTTATCCAATTTCTTTCATCTTCAATACTCTTCTTATTCGGTTAATTGAAATATAATTTTACTTATGTGAGGAATTTGAAAATGAACCAATTTAGTGCTCTAGCTAGTTAGCTTATTCAAAGATTTAATTATTTTCTCAACCTTAATGGTATTTTAATTCTAATATTTTATTATTTGTCCTCAATGTTAAAGGTAACAACCTATTTTTTTAATTCAAATTCATAATATTAGTTCATCATAAATTTTAAATTTTAACTGCAATTATAATTTTATCAAATAATCACTCTAAAGGATAAAAATTCGTAGTATGCATACTATTTCCAAATGATAAAAATTTAGATCGGACATTTTGCTTTTGAATTTTTATTTTTATTGACTCTTGCTAACTATTTTTTTTCCATTTTATATTCTTAAATATTTTATTTTTTCTAATTATCCAGTGTAGATTTAAAATATTATCTTATAAAATTTATTTGATGGAAAAATAATGTATTTTTCCTCATGGAAAAATAGTTTATTTTACATGATTGTGTCAAATACTCAATTTACACTTTAAGAGAATGTTGAACCATGAATAGACTTTGTTCTAGAACGAACTACAATTTGGTTCGTTCTTGTCTTTTTTTTGCTTCATGTTATGTTTTAGTTTCTAACTAATGCTATTTGTTTGTTGATTTCCTGCTAATTCAAATAACTAATTTAATAAATGAAATAGCTCTAAGGTCCTAGTATTAACAAATTACATGGACGTGTTCAATTAAGGAAACGACTTATTAAATTAAAATCTGTTTTGGGTCGTCATCATTTATTTCCTTATTCATTCTGTGCTTTCGAGGCCTTGAAAACCTCATTTAGAGTAGCCTCGATTTGCGTGCGCAGTCCGGACGCGTAGCCGGAAAGCTTAAATGTGAAATTTTGTGAAAAATGCTAAGTTTTGAGCTTAAAATGAATAAATTTGACTTCGGTCAACATTTTGGGTAAACGAACCCGGACCCCTAATTTGACTATCCCGGAGGGTCCGTAGGAAAATATGGGACTCGGGCGTATGCCCGGAATCGGAATCCGAGGTCCCTAGCCCGAGAAGTGAATTTTTTTTAAGGAAATTGTTTTTCTGAAAATGTCTATGGAAATTGAAATGAAATTTGATTAGAACAAGTTGGTATCAGGCCCGTGTTTTGGTTCCGCCGCCCGGTACAAGTCTTATATATCACTTGAGTCATTCCTGTGAAATTTGGTTAAAGACGGACGTCGTTTGACGTCATCCGGTCCTTAATTGAGAAATGTGATGTTTAAAAGAGTTTTGAGAAATTTCATTGATCTCGAAGTTTAATTCGATGCTCGTGATGTTATTATGGTAATTTGATTACACGAATATGTCCGTAGGATGTTTTTGAGGTTGTGTGTATACTTGGGTTGGAGTTTCGAGGGCTTTGGTGAGTTCGAGTAGGTTCCGAGATGCCTTAAGCTTAAAAAGTCAGATGTTGCAGGTTCAGGAAGTTGCAGGCCGCTGAACCCTTTNAGGCCTGTGCGGCCGCAATCCGTTTAGTGCGGTCGGCGGTGGAGCTCCGCGGCCGCGATCCTTTTTATGCGGTCCGCGGTGAGGGTCTGAGAGGGGTATAAATAGATGGGATTTTCAGTTAACTTTCACTTTTTTCAAAACCCCAAAAACATAAGAGGCGATTTTTCACACAACTTTTCTTCTCCAAATCAATTGTAAGTCATTTTTAACTAGTTTTCTTCAATCATTAACATCTTTTAACATGGTTTCAACTTAAAATCAAAGATTTTCATGGGGGAAATTTGGTGTTTTGGGTAGAACTT